ATGACGGACCACGCGATCCCGGACCGCCGCCCCGCCCAGCAGCCTGACGGGCGGGTTCCGCAGCCAATCCCCGGGTCCAGCCGCCGCGAGGGGCGGGTCCTGCGGACGCGAGAACGTAGCCGCTTGGGCGTTCGCAGCGCTGACCCCGAAAGGGTTACAAATTGCTGAGGCTGGGTCTGCTCTTCCTGTCCCCCGCCAGGGCCGCGCCGCGAGACCGGTAGTAACAAGGGGGCTCCGGCCTATTAAGGGGCCTGCCCTGCCATGCCCCCACCCAGCGGGGCTGTAGCGCCTTGGGCGCCCGCCGTGCAGTATGGGGTTTGCTGTGCCCCGAGGCCCTGAGAGGGGCACGTGGCCTCCCGCCTCTTGCTTGTTCCTGTAGCAGCGCCCCCGCGAGGGTAGCTCTTCCCGGCCCTGGCCTCTGTATCCTGTGGCCCCCACAGGCCCTTCTCCACCCCCCACCCCCAGCGGTGCCAACACAAATCAGCCACTCCCATCTGGCCCGCATCAAATGGCAGAACCCGGTGTAGGATTTGCGCATCACCCCCCGCGGGCGATTGTGTTGTTCACTGCCGATCTCTAGAATCGTAGAAAATAAGGGTTGGACTAGGTGACCAGGAGATCATCTAACACCTCCCCTTCTCCTGCCTGCTCTGCTGCTCTGCTTTCTGCTCCCTGCCCTATCTGCCACCCTGCTTCCCCAGCTGCCGCGTGCCACGAGCAAAGGCTGCCACTTGTAGCACGCGTGCCATAGGTTGGCCACCCCCCAGCGAAATAATCCTCTTGCTGTGCTGACTTCGGGCAGTTTAAGATTTCCCACTGCTATGGGGCCCTGCCTGAATGCAGCCAGCAAACGAGCAGGACGGATGCAATGTCTTTGCTATGGCGAAGTCAGGAGTGGACGTGGGCCTATCCCTTCCCATCTGCTACGTTCCTTGCTTCACCCGCTGGGTTTTGATGAGGAGCAACTTTCTATGGAAAAGGCATATGACTTTATACCACATTTTTTGGAACCAGAAG